ACAAGGTCCCTTAAATATATGATTTTATCTAATTATAAAGACAACTTTATGAGATAGTTCTAGAGGCTTCAGGGCATGAACTCTGGAGTCAAATTCTTGGATCCAAGTCCTGGCTCAACCATTCCCTAGTTATTTGACTTCGAGGATATTTTATGCTTTGTTTTTCTTATGTGTTTAAAAAAAGGAAGTAAAAAATATGTGCCTTAAAACACTGTAATTAGTAGTAATGAATACTGTTAAGAGCTTAGTGAGGTACCTGGTTCAAAAAATCATATTTATAATTGTTTTTAAAGAAATTATAAACTTCTATTTCCCCCTATTATATAACTAGGTAGAGATTTCCTCTGAAGATGATTTTTTGATTTTTTTAATATTGAGTTATTTTTTAATTTATGTATGACAGCGGAATGCATTACAATTCTTATTACACATATAGAGCACAGTTTTTCGTATCTCCAATTGTATACAAAGTATATTCACACCAATTCGTGTCTTCATACCTTTACTTTGGATAATAATGATCATCATATTCCACCATCATGAATAACCCCATGCCCCCTCTCTTCCTCTCCAATCCCTCTGCCTTATTTAGAGTTCATCTATTCCTCCCATGCTCCCTCTCCCTATCCTACTATGAATTAGCCTCCTTATATCAAAGAAAACATTTGGCATTTGTTTTTTTGGGATTGGCTAACTTCACTTAGCATTATCTTCTCTAACTCCATCCATTTTTTTCTACCAATCATCCTAAGAAGGGGCAAACAGCCAAAATGAAAAATATTAAAATATGTTAAAATACATTTTATAAACTGGTCTCAAAGAACCAAAGGCTGAAAGTTTTCTCTGATATGTGAAGGCTAATTCAAAATAAGGGGTGGGGAGGTTAGGGAAGAATAGAGGCACTTAGGATTACGCAGAGGGGAGTGAGGAAGGGAGGGGAGGGGGCTTAGGGATAGGAAGGATGGTAAAATGAATAATATATTATTACCCTATGTACATATATGACTACATGATTGGTATGATTCTACATCATGTACAACCAGAAGAGTTATACTCATTAATGTATGATGTGTCAAAATGCATTCAATTGTCATGTATAACTAATTAGAATAAAAAATAAATTAAAAGCTATGCAAAATAAAAAAATTAAATAAAATACATTTTATACATGTACATATAATATGTATTTGATAGATTTGATCTGACCTAAATTTCAAATTAGCATACAATCTGTTTTGCTCAAGGTTTCTAAATACCATATTTGAGCATTTTTAAAACATCATATAATAGCATTCTACCACAGCCTTCAAACTACCATCAGACTTGTATATATTTCTAAAAAATGTTTTATATGAATTATCTTAATTTTTTTGAGTATGCACTGCTTTTACACACGTAAAGGAACAAAATGGTAACAAAATAAAATTGATAGTTTTGACAAGGATGACTATGGTTTTGTAGATGCTGAAAGTTTTTATTTTTTTTTCCTTAAGTAAATGGAAGTCCTTTATGGTTTTATTTTTGCCTCTGTCTTCTTTAATGAATTCATATACATCTGATCAAAATTCTATGAAATTTTAAAAAATTATCAGCCTTCAAAATCTTGGATAGATGTCCTTAGTGCAAATATATTACTTGAAAATAAAAAATGTTTGTTTAAAAACTATCAGCTGGGAGTGGTAAGAATACTGCTAAGACCTTTCATAAAGGACTGTCCAACATCTCCAATTAAGTTTCTCTGTACCTACTCAAAAATCATTTGTAAATTGGGACTAGGTATTCCTTTCTCAACACTTGATAAATTGGTCCTTTATTCAACAAATATTTATTGAACACCAACTATATGCTACAAACCATCTCAGCTGTCCAGGATACCTCAATTTGCAAAAATACTTAACCTTGTGGAACTTATAGTTTAGTGGAACAATATTTTAAAATAAACAGCTAATTACATGATTTGTTTCAGTGAAGTGAAAATAAAGTGGAGAAAGGGGATGGAAAATGATAAAAGTGAGACAGGTATTAAGTTTTGGACAAGAAAAGTCTCACTGAAAGGAGACACTGAAACAGACTAGAAAAGAGTGAACTGTGCCTCTATATAGGAAAGAAAATTCCAAGCAGAGGGAAAGGCAAATGCAAAACCTTGATGCAGGAACATGCTTCTGTGTGGAAGAGCTAAGAGTATAGTGAATAGGAGCAGAAAGTGGGGAGAGAAGGCAATTAGTGGCAGGGGAGGCAGCAGATTTTCCAGAGGCCGTAGCCTTCTTGAATTTTTTAAATTATTTCACTTTTATTGAGCAAAATGGAAAAATATTGATGGGTATTAAGCAGAAGAAAGTTATATTCTAACATATATTAAAGATCATTCTGGCTATATCGAGAAGATATTGTATGCAGGGAAAGGAGCTGAGAGGTTATTTTAATAAGCAGGCTAGAAGAAAATGGCTTACAAAACCATAGTGTTTTGAAGGGATAGTGTAACAGTTTGAATGTGTCCTCCAGTTTGTGAGACTTAATCCCAATGCAACTGTTGAGAGGTGGGACTTTTAAGTGGTGATCAGGTCATGAGGGCTCTGCACTCATGAATGGATTCATTATTGTGGGAGTGGGTTCATTATCTCTAGAGTGGATTTGTTATAAAAGCCCATTTGTCCTTTTCATTCATTCATTCATTCATTCATTTATTCGTTTGGCCTTTTCTTACTCACTCTGTCCTTCCACCATGAAATGACACAGCAAAAATGCTGTTGCCAGACATCAGATCTTCAGTCTTGAACTTCTTGGTTTCCAGAACCATGAACTAATAAATTTTTGTTCAGATTATTCAGTCTCTGATATTCTATTATGGCAGAAAAAAAAATCAGATTGATATATACTAAAACCAATAGTTAATAAGGATTCTGAGGTTTTTAGCCCGAGTCCCTGCAAGGATGGTGTTCCCAGTAAGTTATTACTGAAGACTGTGAGTAAAGCATGCTTGGGGAAATAAAGATGAGATGCTCACGAGTTCAGAATTGGACATGTTAAAGTTATGACACATTAGATATTAGAGGCATTAGAGGTGAAGTAGATTAAAGAGGTGAAGATTTATCCTTATGTTTGTATGGAAGAAGACCTGATAAATTATTTTGGCCATTAAAAACATGGTATTTAAAGATAAGAGACTAGATGAAGAGAATACAGATAGTGAAAAGATCCAAAGAATTTCACCTTTGGGTAAGACATTCCACCACTAAGAGGTCAAAGAGATGAAGAGGGCCAGCAAGAGACTGAGCAGAAAAATCCAAGGATGTAGAAGGAAAATAAGGTGTTCCAGAGATCAAGGGAACAAGTATTGAAAACCTCAGCTTTCAAAACATACATAAATGTTAACCCAAAACAACATCTATATTTAAATATGACTTTACCTGGTTACCTAACATAAAGAACTGTCAGTTTATTTTCTGATAAAAAAATACAATAAAAGCATGATTCTAAACGAATTTTGGTGTAGAGTAAAAGTACTATCTTCCTTGGCAGCATTTAGGTCTGATGAATTTCTAAGTGATCATTTACTTCTATTATCACTATAGCTTCTTAAATAGGAGTAGCAGAATATTTTCTCCTTGAAGGCACATACTACTTCATGTCAATCTTAACATTTATTCTTACATAGCAAAATCCAAGAGACAACAAATACAGAAATGCTATTTTAATAATCTTTAAGGATCCACAAAATTATTCAATATAAAAAAATGCTATTAACTAATTAATATTGCATTATGGGGGGAAAATGTTTAATAAAAGTTTTTCAGTTACTTTACTACCTATAATAGGTTACTGTTTCTCTGTGTAATTTTAAGCTTTGATATTAGTCATTTATATTAAAGTGTTCTGGATTACTGAGAATTTTGCCTACCAGGGATCATTTGGTAAGAGTCTAGAATCATTTTTATTTTATATAACCTGAGGGAGGGAGGGGAAGAAGTGCTACTGGTCTTTAGTGGTAGAGGACAGTGTCACTATTAATGCACAGGGACAATCCACTATATGAGGAATTGGCTGAAAAAGTAAATAATGGCAAGCTAAGAAACCCTACTCTAGAGACCAAAATTATGCAAAGACATGGAAGCTTAAAGTACAGAAAGTCAGGTACGTGAAAATGCACTCTATAGCCTCTAAATTCAGATTACATGGGTTTGACATCTACCATAATAATTTTGAGTAATCAAAGCCTTAGTCCTTGACTGGCTAAACATATATACATTATAAATATTAGAGATAATGCACATAGTTCAAGTGCTTAGTTCAGTTCCTGGCATGTTAAATGTATTTATTACCTTGTAACAATCATATACTTATACATTAAAAATCAAAATTACCTCACTAAGGTCTTTAAGTTTCTAAGATGCTATGACTTACACATAATTAGCCACTACTGAAACATTCTGCTCATTGAAAAATCTGACTCAGCCAAAAGGTCTGAGCTATTTAACAGATAACAAAAATACACACTCACCTTTTCTCCAACTTAATTCCAATTCCACAGTGCATATTTTAAAAGTAACTGTCCCATATTTGCCCTACCATAAAATTGCTACTAGTGTACTTCCTGGCCTTAGTAGAATTACCAAGACTCAGCAGCAGAAACTCTCAAAACCTTTGGGCCAGTAGCACCACAGTTATCAGTGACAGAGAATCAAACTCTAATCCTAGTGCTACAGCACTGATGACCTTGAAAACCTTCAGCAAAAATGATTTATAACCATACATGCTTCTACATCAACTAGTAATGTAAATCCAGGTCTCCATTCTGCCAATGCCAGAGGCTTGAAAAGTCTTTCCATTCTCCCTCCACATAATTTCCAATTTCAGTTGTTAAATACATCCTAGTGAAGTTACCAATGGGCATATGCAAAACGAAACCTTTACCAAAGCAGTTTTAATTATGTAAGTACATAGAAACTCAAGAAATTCTTAAATTTTAATAGTTTATTTTCTACATTAAATAGTGACACATATCAAGTTTCAGAGGTTTATTAATCAGTGTAATAAACTCCAACAAATCAACATGATTTCATGCGTTTAAAGGAGAAGTATTTCCTGGTTAAGTGGAAAATTGTGCGGATGCTTCTCAAAGACCTTCATCATAAGCAGCTTTACAGTGAAATGTTTCATTTAGAAGTCTGGACCTTCTTTCTTCAGTTTGCTGTAATCCACATTCACTGAGTAGAACTTAGAAAAGAAAAATAATATTTTAGTTATCTACCAAATACAGAAAGCTAGCAAAGAAGTTTTAGAATTCTTTTTATTCAGTTTTCTACAGTAACAAGTACAGATATGAATTTTCAAGACTATTTAACAATGTAAAATTTATTAATAGAAAGATAGTATACACAAAAATTCTAGCCCTTTAGATGGTTTTGGTAAGGTAAAAATATTTCAGAAGAGCAGTATTAGTATACTCTTAGTTAGAACATATTAAAAAAATCCTACTTCAAACTGAATGAAGGAATTCCTTCTAATATATCATCCAATTCTATGAACTTTTACTTTTCCTCCACTAAGTACATGGGAGATCTCCAAAACAATAGAGGAATACTGAGAATTACCATTCCTACCTTGTTAAAGTACTACAATTTTGTTGAGAAAGCTCTTGCAACAAAGAGATACTAATATTAATAAGGAATTGCTTTGTTTGTAGTTTATGTAGCTTTTCAGATACAAACTGGTTTGCCTCAGAAGCTTTTCATTTTCTGGCTCTCTCAAAGGTTTTAATTTCCTAACCCTAGACTGTATCAGTATCAAAACGAACACTACATCACTTCTGGCGATAGCCTTTAAAAAAGAAAAAAAAAAAATTGCATTTTTTGCAGGTTTAAAATTACAAAAAGTTCCTTACAGTCAATTAAGTTTAGAAATAAATTTCACTATGATTGTTTCAAAACAAAACTGTCTCTAACTCTACTTTGTAAAAAATGATTTATATTTGAAACTGGTCCAAAATTTCTACTGGAAGATTTGCACATAAGCCCAAATAAGGATATAATCTTGGGTTTACTCATTCTTGTGCCAAAGAATACTAAAGAGATTGGGCTATAATTACTTGAAAACATTATCTCTAAAAGAACCAAAATATGCAGAATGATCTTCAATATTTTCTTCATAGTGTTTATTAGATAATAAGTTCAGCTCTGGTGTTATATCTCAGTGGTAGGGTTCTTGATTTAGCCTGTTTGAAACCCTAGGTTTTATCCTCGGGGCCACAAAAAAAAAAAAGTGCTTACCAATCTGTATTATTTCTTCAAAAGCTTTCATTTCTTTAAATATACTCTTCTTTATCTTTAATCCAAAAACCCATTAAACTGGATTTTTTTTTTTTTAAAGAAAAATCTCCAGGTTGTAAAGCTTATTACCAAGTTATCCTTGATATAGATACATAAAGTTTTTACGAACAGAAAATTATGAGTAAGACATAAAGCATATTCTTTGTTCTGAGAGTTTTCTCTTAAAATCAATTAACCTAGACAATAAGATGTAAGAAAACTAATTATGTTATCTTCTAACACGTTAACAAAATATTAGAAAGAAAATTTCACAAGGGTCTGAAGGTATATGCTAAGGAAAATAAAATAAACATTTATTGGACTTTTCTACTGGATGTTAGGCATTGGCCAGGTACTTTTATCTTACTGAAACACAACCTTTCTTATTCTTTATTAAAAAAAAAAAAAAGGGCAAATGAAGACCAAATTATATGACTTGTTAAACACTTAAATAGCAGGTCCAAGTCTCTACAACCAGGCACAGTAGAAAGTTTATGTTATCTTTGTCATTTTTCTCAAAACTAAGCAGATTTCTGATGTATCTGCTTTGTCCTCAAAATTCTCTCTTAGAAATAATCTTTAATTCTGCTTTACTTTATAACTTTCATGCCCCTACTGTTTTTCCAATTTAATAGTGCTTTCTCTACAGCCTCTGGAATAACAATCTCTGATTTTGGCTTTGGGGAATTTTATTTATTAAAGAAGTATTGCTGGGACTTTAAAGCTTAAGTTCTATTTTAGTCCCATCTCTTGATATTTGTATTAGCTTTTGCTATTTGGCAACAAATAACCTTCTGATATGAATAAATACTTATGCCTTCCTGACATTGATGTTGAAATTTTAATTCCCAAGGTGATGATGATATTTGGAAAGTGGGCCACTGGGAGATAATTAGGTCATGAAGGTGGGACCTTCCTAATAGCATTAGTGCCTTTATAAGGAAGAAATATGAGAGAGTTTCTCTCTCTGCCTTGTGAAGACATAGTAAGGAAGACAGCCTTCCTCAAAAACATAATAGGGTTGTTCCTGGTAGCACACCTGTAATCCCAGCTATTTAGGAGGTCATGGAGGAGGATCTCAAATGTGCTTAATGAGACTTTGTCTCGGAATATAAATGGCTGGGTGTGTAGCTAAGTGGTAGAGCTCCCTAGGGTTTAATTCCCAAAACCACAAAACACAAACACCCCAGAAATGACTGGCATCTTATACTTCCCCAGCCTCCAGAACAAATTTCTACCTACCTGTCTATGATGTCTTGTTATAATCATCTAAAAAACTATCCTGTCTATGATATCTTGTTATAATCATCTCAAATCTTAGTGGTTTACAATAATAAAGTTTTATTTTTCATTCACATTATATGCTGCTTATTATTTGACTATTCCATATTCTCTTCATTGCAGTCCTGGGCTGATAAGTTGCCCTTATCTGTCAATTTTGGTCTCATGAGAAATGGAAAAGTACCATAAAGGAACCACATAATGGTTCAGAAGTGACAGATATAATTTCCCCCTTCTCATGATTTACCAGAGAAATCAATATAGCCAAACCTGCTGTCAGTGGGCCAGAAAAACAAATTCTCTTAGAAAAGAAGATGAATGAACATTTCAAGACAATAATGTAGTCTACCTCACTGTTTTGAGTTTAGAAGCAGTAGTAAGTGGGATTAAGATTAATTCACTGCAGACTCAAAGAATTCCAGATTTACTTCCTTTTCATTTCTGCTATTTGTAATATTTTTCCACTTTCTAACATGTCTATATTTATGCCACACACAAGGTTTTTATTGCAGCAATAGTCCATTTCCAGTTCACATGGCCTCATACTGACATGTGTTATCATATTCCAGGGTAGTGATAACTGGTTCCATTATCAGAATCATCTTCTAGTAAGCTGACTATATATATGCAGACTCCAATATGCTCTTTGGTGGAAGGACCAAGGCCTGTTTCTTTGTTTTCTTTTTAAATGTTTCTTAGATTTAAAAATATTTTTCTGGAATAGACTATACTTAAATTCATAAAACAAAAATACATCAGGATATCCATTATCTTTTAAAGGCAAAATGTTAACACAGAGATCAAATGGCTGTTTCAGCTTGGCCAGTGCATTTTTAAAAAAATATGTATTTTTCAGTTGTAGGTGGACACAATATATTTATTTCATTTTTATGTGGTACTGAGGTTTGAACCCAGGGCCTCACGTGTGCTAGGCGAGCACTCTACCACTGAGCCACAACCCCAACCCCTTGGCCAGTGCATTTTTATTTGCTTTTTGGAGGGAGATCTGTTTAAAGACTTTAAAAAGCCAAATTATAATCAGAGGAAAGCTTGGAATCAGCAAAGGGGCATTTTATGGGCATATATCTCCTAAGAAGTCCTGGACACACACTGGTCAGGGCAACTCTTCTTGAGAGCGCTAAAGCAAATTGCCAGTTATTCTGTTAATGAAACATTTTGGTACTTCACATCAGTAGAAAGTACATGGGGGAGTTAAACACTTTAAACAGATGAACTGTATGGTATAAATGGAGCAATACTTTTGATACAAGAAGGGTGTGTAAGCAAAATTTTTACACATAAGAAAGGTTATATTTGGGAAATCAATACATGACCCCAAGATATAAAATCATTTTTTCAAAAAGTATTTATACAGACCACTTTTCAGGAAAGATGTTAAAAAGTTTATCTAGGAAGTTCATGGTAAAATTTAAGTTTCACCTGACTTTCATTTCTTCCTATTAATTCTCACCTAGAATATCTCAACTATACCAATAACGAAGAACCAACCAAACTGGCCAATAGCTTAGTGCTACTAAGAATGTAATACATGGACCAACAGGAAAAACATCATCTGAAACTTTGCTAGAAATGAAAATTCTCAGTCCTCACACCAACCAAATGAATCAGAACCTCTGAGGTGGAACTATAGAATCTGTTTTCACAAACTGTATATATAACAAAATTTGACAACTACTGGCCAGGTATAGTGGCACATGCCTATAATCCCAAGGACTCAAGAAGGCAGAGCCAGGAGGATCACAAGTCTGAGGCCACAATGTGCAACTTAGTGAGACTTTTTCTCAAGATTTTAAGAGATATGAGGATGCAGCACAGTGATAGGTGCCCCTGAGTTCCATCCCTGGTACTTCAGGGGGAAAAAAAAAGAAAGTAATTTGACACACAGTAAGTTAGACTATCTAAGAACTAACAACTTTCCCTTTAATCTCTTAGTCAAATTAGTATAGTTAAGACATTATCTTAACTTCACTCAGTCTAAAAGCTAAAAATAAAATCCAAATAGGAAAATGTTTTTAGAACAATATGCAATCTTAATTTCACAGAACAATCTAGCAGCTCTTCAAAGTTCATCAGAATGGAATTCTACTCGTATATCCAATTTCAAGAAAAACTACACCACGACCAAAGTCGTTACAATACACTTCTCAACAATTTGGAAAAAATTTTGCACCTTACCTTGTATTGATCATTAGGACCCAGTTTGTTCCAGGGTTCTGGGTTATTCTTCCTGTCCCAACTAAAAAGAATAAAATATTATAATTGTACTAGTAATAAAACATTATTTAAAACAGTGTTTTGTAGTTCTTAAGAAGCTAATATTGTGAATAGTCCAATCTCATTTTCTACTAGGTGGAATATGGTATTTGCTTTCATTAGGAAGTTAAAACAGAATCTATCATAAGCAGCCCCATGTAATCAATAAGAAAAAAAGTAGAACACAGAGCCTCTTGGGGCAGTTGTCCTTGTCCCTATCCCCATCCCAGGAAAATTTATACACAGCCTTTACTAAATTTTCTATTTTATCATTGAAGTGATACATTAAAAAAAAATCATAGAATAATGCTGAATCAACCTTTTCTTATCATTTTCCAACTGCAAGAAGAAACATTTCCTACTGTGGGAAAACAGGCGAAAAATATTTACATATGCCAGAAACCATGATTAAGTATTTTATAAAAACAATTAGTTCTATTACTTAGTGTCACTACTCCTAGAAAGACTGTGGCTCCTAAATTAGCTTGGCAAACCATCCGTTTTAAACATTTTTAAGTACCTACCTGACATCTGGATTGAACAATGCCAGACGCATCACATACAGTGCTGCTCCAGTACCTCCTGCTCCAATAAATACGAAGAGGGGAATCAACTAGAAATCAAACATAAAATAACAATTTTCAAATTCCTTGATATTGATCAAAGAGAAGCTACAGCAGTTATACACATTAATTGCAAATCTCAAAACTGCTCCTTTGCTAACTTTTGTTAAAACTTAAAGGCAGAACTTAGAAGGAGGTGGAACTGCTTATAATTGTGTTCTGAAGAAACAATTTGAAAAGGATCTGAAGATGGTTCTGGCCTAAGTCTCACTTTTTAATGTAAATAAAATTACATATGTTTTCAAATTTCCAAGACAATGTATCAAGGGTTATTTATCTCTATAATATTTATACTTCATTCCCGTTAAATTCCCTTTATGTCAAGGCTGAGGGGTAATTCTTTGCAAATTAAAAATTAGGTGTGCCTCCAAACAAATACTTTAAAAACACAAACTCTGTGAAATAAGGAGTCTAAGAAGCATACAGAAACACAACTATTACAAATAGTCAAGCTGTGGCTTTAACCATAAATTGAAAACTACTGCTACCAATTCTTGCCAAATATTTAAGAAATTGGATTTAAGACAAAGACTAAAGACAGTGTAATTGTTAGGTTCCCCAGCTCATTTCAGTGCCGGGAGAAATAAGAAGTCAAAAAATTAAATCCGATTAAATTCTGCACTACCAGATTCCCAAAATGCCAGGGCATCCAGACAAAGTGTGGATTCCAACATCAAGAACCTCTTATATTCCAGAAGGCCTGGGTGGTGCAATGCGGCGAACACGGGATCCTCAATAGGCAGCACAACAAATAGGGACGCTGACCTTTTTTGGTCTCTAATCCACAGAACATACACCCATCCTTCTTGGACCCACCAATGTGCAAGAAAGCGCGGCCTCTAAATTGTCTCCAAACCTTCAGCCTGCCAACCAAAACTCCACAACTGCATGTCGCAGAAAGTCACAGGCCGAGGGCCTGGAGCAACCAAGACAACGCTAGGAGAGACTGGGCCCAGCTCCAAAGGGCAGTAAGGGACTGCGAAAAGAGAAAGCTCTCAAGAGACAGTGGCAGCCACCCCACCACACAAGATGGACATGGGAGAATACTGAGAAAGGAGTCATGAACTTACGCTTGGATGCTTCTTGGCCTGACCGAGGATCTGGCGGAGCATGTTTGTAATAGAGGCCTCCGGCCCAAAACGAGATAAGAAAAACCTGTCAGGCCCAAGACCAAGCAGCCTCTGCACCCAAGTTGTGCGGACGCCCAAAGTCACCCAGAATATCCTACCTGAAGGTCCCCTGGCTCGGAAGACAGCCTGCGGCAGGAGGGCCCGGATGCGGCTGTCCTCAACAGTGCCTGCCCTGATCCAGGTACTCACGCGTCCTCCCTAACCTGGCCTGACCATCACCACTCCATTTAAAAGCGAAATATTCCTCATTTCTATACTATGAATCTTTCTTACCAGGAACTTTTGGCCTCGAAACTACAAAAATTTGATTGACCAGACAGGCACTCTCTCAGAAGGCCACGTGTTGAGGTCAAACGGCAGGCGCTCAGGCAGCGCGCTCAGTGGGCTGGGCCTCTTGCGCGGCGCCTAAAGGCCGGGGTCGCGCGCAGACGCGTTTGGGGCGCGCGTGCCGGGCGCGCGCTGGCCGGCCCAGACATCCGCCAAGGGAGTGCTGCGACGCCTCTGGCAGCCCAGAACACAACGCCAGGACTGCAGGTCGGGTCCCTAGTCACCAAGGTCAGCGGCTGTGGTTTAAGAAGGCTGCAGCTGTTTCCTGTCATCGACTGTTGCTTAAGGGCAGAAGTTAAAAACTAGTAAATGTCTTAAAGATGGCAATAGTCTCATCAGTGTGATCTCTGAACACTCAGGCCACAAAGAACTTGGCAACATGTCACTTTCCCCTTCCCATAGTCCCGAAATTACATTCTTAAAATGTTTTCAATGATTGTTTCCTACACATGATCTTTTCTACTATCCCAGATCAGTGTTTGTTTGTTTGTTTATTTATTTAATCCGAAGTCTTCCGTGGTAGAGGCTTTATGGGCATCTGTGGTTACAGCCAACTATCTGCACCCCTCCAACCTCCTATGTAATTTGAAGCATAAATCAAATGATCAAACAACGAGAACTAAGAAGAGTAGGAGAAGGCTCCTCTGAAAAAATAACATCAGACTTGAAGGAGTAGACTTAACCAAGTGAAAAGAGCATGTGCAGGTGTAGAGAGCTGAGAAATCCTGTGAAGGTCTGAGGCTCAAGAGAACTGTTGAGTGGCAAGGAGGTGTAATATGGCTGGAACTTGAAGAGCCAAGGCAGAGGGAAGACTGGATCTACTCAGAACCAGTGGCCACTTCCATGTGGGCTTTATGTTCAGAATTTTGAGAAACTCACCAAATAGAAGTTGCTGCAGTTTTATGTGACTGTTTTTTTTTTTTTTCTTATGAAGAATGAATTAGAAGGGATAAATATAAAAGGGGAAAGACCTGTTGAGAGCTATTGCAATAGCCCAAGTGAGAGAGAATGGTAGCTTGAACTTAATACACTCAATATAATGATTGGGATGGGGGGATGTTCCAGAGATTCACCACCAGGACTTGGTGGTTGGTTGAATATGGGAGAGAAAGGAGAGAAGGATTCAAGGATATTTTCACAGGTTCGATTTTAACCAACTGTGTGAATGGTGATGTCAGTTGTTGAAATTAGAAAACAGAATGATGGATAGATACCTATGGAAAATCAAAGTGAATTTCTATAGGATAAAATAGAACTTGATTAGCAGAATAATTGTAGGACTGAATTTTTTAATGAGAAATGAACCTTATGACTAAATGGGATTACTTACAGAAGGTTGAGTAAGAAAAAAGGGACATGGAATTGAGATATAAAACATGGGATGCTCTGCAGAGGAGGTATGGCCAGCAGGTAAGAAAAAAAATAGATGATGATTATTAAGATGATATGTCACAAAGTTGATAAAGTTTCATCCATTTCAGCAAATCTTGTCAAGTACCTACTAGGTATTTTTCTAGCCACTGGGGATACAGCAGTGAAGGAGAAAATTGTTCTGTTCTAATGGAGCTTATATAATAAATAAATAAGATAATTTTGCATGGTGATAATCCAATAAAACAGAATAAGAAAATCAGAAGGGTGAAAGAAGAAAGGTACTTTAGAGTGAACAAGGAAAGATTTCTTTGAGGATATTTGAGCTGAAACCTATATGAAAAAGTGGTAAGAAGATCTAGGGAGAACATTTTAATTGGCAAGAGAAATGGCTTTAAGATTTTTTAAAACAACAACAAAAGAAAAAAATATGCACTTAAAGGAGGTCAGTGTGGCTGATTCATAACGAAGAAAAACAAAAATGAGACCAGTGAGGTAGTAAAGGTTTCTCTGACATTTTATAGACTGTGGTGTGGAAAATGACTATATTAAAAAGTTCAGCATAAAAAGACACAGAAAGAAGTGAACAAGGAAACCTAACAGTAGTAAATGTGGATACTATCAGCAAAGAAATTAGAATGGTAGAGATCTCTTTTTGATATTTTATTTTGAATGATAACTGCTGGTAATAAAATAAGTAAATAGGTATATAAGAATGTCATTATTCATAAATTAAAATTCAGTGACTTTACTTTTTTGTCATTAACCTGGCTTGTAGAAGTAACAAGAATAGAGATAGTTACGTGATACTCTTGGAAATGTTAACAGAGCAGAGTTACAAAATATAAATTTTAGTAAATATTAATCAGCATGTCAAATTGTAAAACTTAAAATTTTTCACATTAAATTTAGTGGAAAGAGCACATGACCTATATTTTAAATAGATAGAGAATAATGGTGACAGTTTAGAAAAAGAAACCATGGTAGAGGAGATATAGTACAACATTCAATGTGAGCCTCAGAAGTAGGATTGGTATATGTGGTATATGTGGTAGATTATTGTATGCAAATATCTACAACTGCTCCCTAGAAATATAATATTTACTTGTCTCATTAATATAGGTCTTAATAAGATGATTTATTTTATTAGCAAATTATATATGAAAAGTAGTGTATCTTAGCAAATGATATGTGAAAATTAGCATATCTTATAAAAGCAGAAGTTCTATGAGCCTACATGTGCCATGTCCTCTTTTCCCTCTGCCACCTGATCAAGCAGTGTTCTAGATAAAGACTGCTCTATTAGCTTGGTGTCAGAGTGAACATTGCTTGGATCAGAGCCACTGTTGATTTGCAGTTGACACACATTAAGAATGAGGAGTAAGTGTTTATTTTTACAAGTCATCAGTTTGAGGTTAGTAGTTTGTTAATGTGACATAGTATGTTTCAAAAAGAATCACAGGTGTGGCCATTGGTACATGGTGTTGACTGGGATCAAATAGAAGAGAAGTAGACCACATACTATTAAAAGGACTATCAGCCTCAAATTAAAGAGACTGTTTGAAATGTGAAATGATATTTAGGTTCTCCAATCTTCTGGAGGTAAGAAGCAAATATAAAGAGGTCCTTATATTTTAAGGAGGTCCAATTTTCTAATGTCCTCCTTATATGGAATTAAGACAAGATTCCCCAGAAGATAAGGCAAGAGCCACAGAGAAGAGTGGCCTAATCCCTAGATGTCAAAATTAGGGCCTAACCAAAAAACTATCCCCTACCTTCAGTCAGTAGCAATTTCTACCCAATGAAATTTCAGGATCAGTGTTTATCTGCATTTCTATTTCTGAATAGAATCATTAATTATAGTTATCCAGTCTTAATTCCACCTCATATTGTGGGTATTGTGGGACAAATAACTTCCTTTTTTTGTTATAGATCTCCAGATTAAGAGGTGACATACCTAGAACAGACAAAGCAACTACACACCTTGGGTTGTGGGTATAGCTCAGTGCTAGAGTGAATACATAGTGGGGTGGGGATGTGGTCCTGGGTTTGATTCCCCACACAACAAGAAAGAAAGAGAAAAGAGGGAGGAAGGGAGAAAGGAAAGGAGAGGGAGGGAGGAGAGGAGAGAGGGAGGGAGGAAAGGAGAGAAAAAAAGAGACTACAACTTTATTCATAGATCACAGACTTTAAGTTGGAATTAATGACAGAATTTCTTGAACCTTTCCCATGGGGAGTGTTATTTTCAGAGAGGAAAAGTGACATTTGAGTGTAAAAGAGAGAACTGAATAATTGTAATCAGAAGGACAGATTTTGCAAGATTGTCTTTTCTTCACAGATATTTAAAGTCTTTCCTAGAGAAAGATTAAATTTTATTTCCCTAATGGTATCAGACTTAACTAGGTGACTCTATTTAGGCAATGAAGAATATAAAAGTCAAAATTTGAATAATACAGAAAGAATTAAGTCTGTGAGAACTTAGTGAAGACTATGACATTGTTTAAGACTGCGCAGAGTGACTGGGTCAAAAAAAGAGGGAGATTTGAATTTCATATATACCAAATAGTCTGTACAAAGCAGAGACACTTGAAAGTTCATAGTGTAAGTGCATAGTGTGTGGAAGGAATTGAGACATTATAGTGTAATGGGCGGGTAAGTTGCATTGGGAGAAATGTGGGCAATTAAACTGAAAAGGTTTACCCACATTTTTGAGAATTTGAACTTGGGACTTTATTCTTTAGGTGGTGAGTGCTCATAAAAAGTTTTATATCTAAACACAGACTAAATCTGCTGCAGGACATAAGATCTTATTAAATGAATTGGAGATGTCTTTTACCATTCCACTCTGAGATTTGTGCTCTCTGGATTTCTTGATTTTTTGTGTGGGTGGTTTTTTTTTTTTTTTTTGTGTGTGTGTGTGTGTGTGTGAATGATTTAAAATAAAATAATATAAATTAGTTGTTTAAAATAAATGTAAATTATATGATTAATAGCTCTGAAAATCCTATGTAGTGCTGGGTGTGCTGGTACATGCCTGTAATCTCAGCAACTTGGGAGACTGAGACCAGAGGATCACACAATTGCCAATCTCAGCAACACAGTGAAACTCTTTCTCAAAATTGAAAAATAAAAAATAAAAAGGACTGGGGGTTTAGCTCAGTGGTAGACTGCCCAAGAGTTTAATCCCCAGTACCTGGGTGTGGGGGAATCCTCTGTGGGGTATCATTACCATCCAAGATAAAATATTTCTCTCACATAGTTTGCCTGAAATACATGACTAGAAAATTCTGGAAGCTATGTGATTATGTGTTGATATTAATGTGTGACAGTAAAGAAATAGCTTCTTTAGAGGGAAATAATTTTATAAGTGAGCCATGGAGTACAATTATATTAATGTAAATTGAAGAC